GAAGACCTCCTCACAAAACCACAGGGTGCCCAATGCCCAGGGACAATTTAATAATATAAGGGGTTATAACCTCAGTTGCTGTCAGGGTCTTTCCAAAAAAAATTTTTTTTTAATTAAAAATACTTAGTTTTGTACACTCACGGTGTATGATACATTGATTTATATTATATACATAATGTACTACAATATGTATACTTAGATAAAAAAAATGTTTTTCTTTAGAGTCGATTAATACGAGTTATTAATACAGTGTTAATACATTTTATACTACTGTTTTTAAAAATACGAATAATGCAGAGTAAGTAAAAAACATAATATAATAGATACATGAATGTAGGTGGATTGCAATTAATACAAATAATAAATAAAACATTTGTCCTAATGTATTATAAATTATTTATAACAAATCATATTTAACCTACGTGTATATTTTATAGCATATATTTTATGTATATTTTATTATATAGTGTATACAATCTAAAGATCATTAATTATGCAAATTAGGGGCTTATACTTCAGTCGAATAATACATACAAAGTATTAGTGATTGCTTAAAAAAAATTTCCCCAGGAAAACCCAACTCGCGGACATTATTTAGGAAAAAGCTGAATTTAGTATTACAAATAGTCCAACCATTGAAATCATAATGACCCAAAAATTAGTGTAAAAAAAATGAAAAATAGGTAAGCACGTATGCACATCAATAGTAAAATAATATTTTGTTTGAGCGCAACATACGATTATCGGTTTCCTATTCATTGGCTAGCACACTCAAGGTCACTCATTTCAAAATAATTATAGCGCTAAGCTTCCTGAACGCTGCAGTAGGTACCTCTAAAATACAATAACGATGGGCTAATTTCAAAGTAATACTTAATAATATTTTATCAGTGCATTCAAAAACACACAATTTATGGTGCATGCGTTGGGCTAGGCATTAAAAACTGAATTTCCTGATTTCCGTCTTAAATATTACATTAATTTGTTGCCTTGATCGATTTCGACACGTTTATCGCGAGGAAATCAATAATATTTATTAACTAAAAAATCTACGGAAAAAACAATAACAAAAATAAACAAGTTTTTGTTGTAAGAGTGGGTTATCATATTGTGACCATCCGGCCATGGACCATCCGAGTTAACGCAAAACAGGAATTATCATAATATTACAACCTACCTAGTAGCTATCAAAGTAAAAGAAATAAAATATCCTAACATAGAGCATAGCTTTTTCACATAAAGTCCGCATTTTTATTCGATATCTTAACCAAAGCTAATCAAGTAAACGTAAAGGGGTATTGTTGAGCTCTATATGTAGTAAAATAATATGTCAACGCAAATTGGAAACACAATAATTGTTAACAACACACTCGGCTGAACTGTGCGCAGATATAGGTAATATCGACGCTTCATTTCAAATCAGCAGCAACTCAAAATTACAGTGACAATTTAATAGTAATCTCTATTATATAATAATATACGAATTTAAGGTTTATAAGCCAATAGTTCAAAAAAATGTTATTTTAAATAGTGACAGGTTACATTGTTAAAATGATGATTTTACACTATAGCCAAAACTTCAAAAGTAATAAATTTAATGTCGATAACATGTTATAATTTTGAGTTGTCACCCAAACCAGAGCGGCAAAGCAATATAATAAAACATTTAACTATAAATTGAGCTAAAGCGCTAATTCTTTTTCGGTGACAATTTTGGCTAAATAAACCACTTAGCCGCATCGTGAACGAACTTTCGTTCGTATTGTAAAATACAATAAATTGCTCGTGGCGGTTACAAGGTAGAATATTATAAACTCGTTAACAAACTGACGAGTTATATGTTATAATAACTTGTAACCTTTCGAGTAGGAACTAGGGGTGGTGGTGATTGTTCTAATCAACATTTTCACTCAATTTATTCCCAAAAACATCGCCAACAGTTTACACGCGACACGACGCGTTTTTCCGCCAGTCATTATAATATTATCGATTAATAATTGTATGAAATACAAACACATACTCATATACGAATTCAACACATACACTCTCATACAACAGGCACGATATGTGAGCGTTCACGTTGAATTTTGTGCAAACGCAAGTGTGCTTCCAAAACATTTTAACGAACCATACGTTACAGCTGTAAAGGTACACATAATATGTATATTATAATTACACAACAACAGTTATACCTACACATGGATTCGTCGGCATTACACTAAAATGATGAACATACAGCCAACAACAATCATAATATTTTTTATTACAAAAGCCTGTAATGCTTTTGGTCTTGTAAACTAAAACGATAACGCTAAAATCTTAAGATACAACCCCTACGGCCAACCAAGGCAATATCAGATAGGTACACAACAAAATAAGAAGTATAACGCAATATTATGCAAATATGTTTGTGTACATTGTACAGACTACAGGTATGCTATGAGAAACTGCAACCTTATTACAATCCGTACAAAAGCTATATAAATGTCGTATAAGAAACCGCATCAATATTAATTTTAACAACTTTAAATAAATAATTAGTCACATATACCTGATACCTGGCATACAATATCGCTCCTCATAATATATAGTTGTCTAACGATAGAAGCTTTTCGCCGACACTGTAACTCGACGTAGGTAATCATACAGTTTTACCATCACCAATTATTATACAAAATCGTAAACTAAACTGTATAGTTTTAATAAACAAACCGAAAAAATAAACACATTACAAGCATTAACGTCATTACTAATTACAAATCGTTTTAAAAGCATCACTTTTAATTAGTTTCGCTACACATGCACTTAATTATAAAGCAGACTAAAAATAGGTATATATAATAACCAATAGCTGTTTTTGGTGGCGTGTTGCATATCTGAATTTTCTCTTTCAAAAAAAAAAAATTGTCAAACTATGTGTAAATAAAAATAAATGACTAAAAAAAAATAAACTGACAAGTTGTTTACGTTCTTGTAAAAATGTAATGTATTTTAATGATTTAACTAAATAAAAAAAGGCAAGTATTTTGAGTTATCTTAAATTTTCAAGAATCAAAACGAGCTCTATAAATTGTCATAATAATGGCTTGCAGGAACCGTTTGATTACAATCAATCAGCTTCTTTAGTGGTAGGTAAAATTACGGCATACTTCATACATATTTTTATCTATTGTATTATTATATGCGATATTTCATTGTTATCACCACTGCCGCTTCCTCGCATGTTTATTACATAGCGACAAACTAAATGAGACTATGAGAACACTAAAATCACATTATAAATATAACTAGTTTATGAATAGGTAAAAGTCTATGGTTTAATATCAGTTTAATTCAATACACCGTGAAGTTATTCGTTCAAGTGCAAGTGAAGATATTTTTACAAAATCAAAAAATTAGTGATCTTTGAAAATATACATATAGATATAAAGAAAATGGTAGCTAGTTACTTTTTATAATTTTTTAGGAGATTGCTAGTTAGTAGATGAGACAAGGTGTTGTTAAAAGAAAAATGCAATTATAAATAAAAATAATGCCCGATGAATAATTTCAGCATATTGAATAGATATAAAAAACATTTGATGGCATGTACAATGAAACAAAGCAGGCATTTTTATTTTTTAGTTGAATTTTGAAAGATAATCTTAGGATGTTTTCATGTCTTTGTTAGTTGCTGACGTTTCGGATTCTTTGCAGATTCCATCTTCAGAGCGCTAATCAGAGTTCCTCTTTGAAACTGGATGGACTCTACAATGAGTCCGAATCATCAGAAATGAATCAACGATATCTATCCAAAGATTATCAAGTTAATATTTCAAACCACCATGTTAAAGCTTTAACAGTTAACACATTCACACTGATGTCTGACTGCTGACATATTTAAACTTGACATTTTATCTCAGTTCCTCTAAAACAATATGAAGCATTTAATCAACCTATTTCTATTGGTCTAATTTAGTTTAAATAATTACTACTAATTAAAGAAGTAAAACGTTAAAATTATAGTACCAAAAACAAAAAAAATGTATTCAAACTTTAACCGGAAAGGAAATGAGATTAATAATTCAATATAAAAGTATAGTGCTCGAGTGACGAAAGCTATTGACGAATAAATTCGTGGAAAAAGTTTTTTATTAAAACGTTAGTTACATGACACCATTTTCCACATAAATATATTATTATTATAGAAACGATTATAAAAATGATAGGTACCTATATATATATATATATATATATATATATCACAAACTATTTTTAAGTTATGCAATATTTAATCAATAACTATTTTTACAAACAAAAACAAGGTATATAATTATAGTTGGAAAATGCCAACTATTAATATTTGTCGCTCCTCTTTTTTAGTTTTTTAAGTCTATAATACATATCTGTTTTACCACTGTGATGAAGTATGTTGTCGATTGTTACATTACAGTTATCTATCTATATATCTATATTTATAATCCAAAACACTATCATAATACCATATAATATATATTTAATAATATTTACTTAATTACGTATTAGTAATGACTAAGGAGATTTTATTTGTTTAAGATAACAAGTTTAGGTTAAATATAAATATAAATTATAAATGTCCTCGTCACCTGGGTTTTACTTAAATGAGATTCAGGTCCAAATACGTTGTTTGAGTATTGTTTTTAGTTATTACTTATTCCTAAGTAGAAAAAATGAGTAAAATACGTGTACGAACTCTGTCAACAATCAAGTCCCGAGTGTTATGTTTAATTGAATAGTGAAATTGCCACATACGTGGCTAAATTATTATTATGAAATAACTGTACCAATCTGCGGTAAGTAAAATTCACGTTTTACACAAAGTTCAAACAGGATGCAAATTAAATCCTTATGAGTACCTACACAGAAGTCAGAACAAGATGCTATAGAGAAGACCATAAACATAGACAACTAGGCCCGGTATGGAGAAAACTTACTACTACGATAACACTGATAATAATTAAATATGAACTAATTATAAATACCTTGCGATTGTGTAGACGACAGTAGGTGATTTATTGGATGTACAAATTTGTTCACAAAATGATCACGGCGACTACACACGAGATAACTTCTCTGAATATAATATTATACTTTAAAACCGTAGGCGTCGTCGGCGTTCGACTCGAATCGCAACATGTTGTTTTCGGGAACAATAATAATAATTAGAATTCGAACGCGCAGTCGACTGTAAACAATACTCGTTGAAATAATAATATTGATAATAATGATAATATTATAATATAAATTGTACAATGATAACAACAATAATAATAAATAAAATCAATTCAATTCAACGAGAATAGTAAATTGTACACTATTTTTTTATTAACAGCGGTGTAATTCGCTCGCGCGCGTTCTTCGCTATATCGTGGACGACACTGAAAATATCACCGACGGACAAGAACCAGCAGTCGCGGCAGCGGTGGCCGGTGTGCTCGCTCACCACCGGACTAACGAGTAACGGGCAACGTGGTTCCTTTAACACAGGTTTTCGCCGCCAAGATATGGTCGGTGATAACACAACGCTAGCGCCGCGCGACGCCGCTTGGCTACCTATCCGTCGGTTGGCGGTTGAACAGGCAACAAACAAACAATTTACAATCCAGGACACGAAATCTTATTGTTTTTCTTTAATGTCGGATACTATTGTTATAAGAGTCCATTGAATTTATAAGCCAGAGTTAAAAACACTCACTGGGGAATTCTAGATGATTACAGATTTTGGTTTTTATAAATTATTTTAAAAATACACTAGAGCCTAGACTCTTAATTTACATTTATGAAATTGTCACAACGAAATCGGTATGTTATTATAACTTGCCGTATAAAAATTGCTATATGATCTGCTAGTGAATTATAGTCGGGAAAATCTTCTTCTTCTTTTGTTTTACATTTTCTATGGATTTACTACCTCCTAGGAAACTTTCATGTTCGTTTATTGAACTTCCGGTTGCGTAATCATTGAAGTGTGAGTAGGTGTGAAGTATAACTAGTTAGGTATAAGGTGATTTAGAATTTAGATATTGTTTCTTATATTATCAAAATAAGTTTTAACAAATAGTAATAATTTTACAAATTATGATTAATAATTATATCGGTATATTTAATATAGTTGTAGATATTTAGTTATAATATTAGTTTTTTAATTAATATAAATCATTTTTGTTAATACCATCGAAATAATACAATTAACATGTATGATGAAAAGTAAGACTAGCCTAAAAGCAAAACTTTATGACTGAGTGTTGCAAGGTCATAATTAAATTCAATTTAGATTAAAAAAAAAAAAAAATGTAACAATAGATAAAATAAAATAAATTAAATTGAGATAATTTAAAAATGTTTCGATAGCATTTGATACGTTTTTAAAAAAGTGAAAATAAATTTTTCCTAGAGTATGTATGATTTTACAAATATTTGACAAAGTCGGTTTTAAAATGTTTTAGAAACACATTTAAAAAAAACAAACAAGATCTATCTTTAAAATTTTAGATTCCATAACCCCAGAGGTATTAAGATTGTGTTAAGAGACACGCCGCCCATTTTTAAGGAGTTAAGTATAGGCAATTTTTTCCAAAATCTTAACTTTGGTTAAACTGTGATGTGTAATTATTAGTTCAGTAGTTAGGACACTTTATTGTTAGTTAAATTATTTTTCGGACTTTCACAGCATCCTTGACAGCGATTTAAAAAAAAAATTCTGTTAAGTTGATTTTTACGCGGATTAATTTTTCTCAGGCTTCATATATAGTCAAAGAAAGAAATTCATGCATACTATAGGTGACAAAATTAGCTGTGCTCCATCATCCATATTTTTTCGATATACCTAATACAACCGACGCTATATCATTTTTAAAAAAGTAAAAAAAGTCCTTTCTTAACTAATTAATTATTCATTAACTGGTTGAAATATTAAAAATTGCCAAGGTAGAGCACAGACAATGCTGTTGTCTGTATTATGTGAAATATTGGTTTCTTAGTTTTGATTACAGCCTTTGTAAAATTAATCCGCGCAAGGCGGGGTTTTTTGAGAAAAAACGGGTGTGTGGCGTCCTCTTAAGGTGGGTTTACACGTTCAGTAAAACTGTACAAACTAATACATTATACATGAATTTTCATGCAATCCGTTTGCGAAAATTAAATGAGTAAATTATTTAAAATTTACTTGTCCTTTTTGTGTTTTGTTCAGTTCTAATTCTAAACCTAAAATATCCATTTACACACCAAAAACTACACGATTGTACTGTTGTTTTTCAGGCACCGTCTGAACTCAAGCATTAAAAATATATTAACTGAGCTAAGTACGATTATTTTTTTACATGCGCAATTAGTTTGCGTAAGTTAACTAAAGGTTTAAATCTAGTTTTATTACCATGACTTCTCTGACCATATTAACTATGTACCTATTATTATGAATGTTACTCAAAAATGCAAAAATACCTCAACCGAAAAATGCAAAAAAATTAATTTTTGGTACAATACAAATGAGCATAGTTATGTGATTTCATTAAAGATGGTTAACAGAATAACAATTGTTTACGTGCAGGAAATAATCCATTAGGATGTGCATCCGCGCAAACCTAGATTGGCGCTTAGACTTGATAAACCAGTAGGTATAAAAAATAATTTGCTAATAACTACCTCGGTAAGACATAAAAACCCATTTGTGTAAAGTATATAAAACATTATAACTAAATCTGTTTTTTGTAGAACACTATAGTTGACCAATAAAAGAGTAAAGACTACTTTTTTACCGATTTTAACGGTTTAAAATAAATTAGTCAAATAAAAAATTAATCTTTCGCAAATCGAAGAGAAGTCTGATTACATTACATTTTATGTTGACAAGAGGAAGACTTCCAACAAGGTGCATGGACTTCGATTTACTAACCTCTACAATATGAGTTGGAATAAGTCCAACTTTTTACTTAATTTTTTTCCCTGTGGTTAGTCATAGGCACGAGAGTATTTCATCGCAAATATATTTTCACCGTCAAAATAACAATAGTTCATGTAAAAAAAATTGTGACTAATATGTAATACAAACTAATAAATTATAATGCAAAAAATTGGTTGACATAATTAAAATTTAAAAGTTTAAGAATTTTCCATATTATATTTATGACGCATAAATCACATATTTTTGCATCGATTCGATCACCTTTAACGTGTAATGTATTATATATACTTTATGTAACTAGGAAAATCATTATATTCGTAAATGGTTTGTTGGATTCATTTCAATTGTATAATTACCGATAATAATCAAAAGAAAATATACCATCGATGACGGTCTGGATTTATATAATTAGGCTGTGACTAGTATGTTTTTATCGTACGACTAGAAAAAATATAATGAATCTATTTGGAAAAAGCGCATAAAAATAAATGTCATCTCGTCCTCGCTCTACGGTTGACCTAACCTCGTGCAGTCTCCACAAATTTACTTGCTAGCAATTATAAGCACGGAAAATAACCTTGCCTAGTTAGTTCACGAACTTGAACAGATATTACAGTACTACAGTAAACGGCAGTCAAAACAATAACATTTATGTAATTTTATACTATAACAATACACAATACTATTAAACCGACCGAAATACGGGGCGAGAATATTGAATAATGTTATTTTATGTAAATACCTAACTATAATATTTGAAGAAGAAATACTAATATTTCAAACAGTTGTTCTTTTTTGTCATTCATAGTTTAGGAATTATCAAGGGTTTTCATATTTGATTAAAGTACTAATTTAATACTGGGGCATGGCTTTATGGCTAATAAATATTCCTAAATTAATCTTACTAACGTGTTTATTTTATTGAAAGAAGGCTGCAGGCTAGGTAATAGCATTGATTATTTATAATCAATGGTAATAGTTACAACAATAATTTTAACAGTACATTCTATAAGTACATTTACAGAACTACTAGTGGAGCAAAAAAGTAAGAAGCTCTTTGGGTGTAAACATGATTTCAGGTTTTAGCTTTATGTTAATTTCATTACATATTATTACAACTTAATTAAAAATAATTACATTAAAAGTGCAGTTTCTAAGTAATAACTTGCCTTTTATGTACATACTTACTCGCTTTCCTAGTTTCCACTAGGAAAGCATTAAAATACATTACTTACTTTGTTATTAAATAATCGTTTCGAGGGAATGCGTTAATAATAATAAGCTATTGATATAAATTATACCATCATTTACTATTTACATAGTAAATAATAACTTTAACATAGTATTACATACTAACTGTTACAGTAATATAACATAGACAGCACCAATGTTTCAATCAGAAACGTCCACCTACCTACCTGTATTTTATAGCAGTTCATTTGTAACTATGAACTGCAAAAATTAAACATCAAAACAATACCAACACTAAACAAAGGGCATGCGTATAATGTATACACTGTATACTATACAGTCTAATGCCTTACCGGTTGAATAGGTTTATCGGTCATAGCTTCCTTTAATTATCCTATTGGTTTTACAATGATACAGCTAAATTTTTTAGTTTTGATGCGGAGCTGAAAGGCTATTGGTTTTATAATGATGTGTGTTTTTTTTAGTAACTTTGTTTATACTAAACCAATTCCCTCGAGTAGCAACTCTATAAATGTTATCTAGTTGGTACCTTAAGGGTGGAGAGGGGGAGAGAGTTAAAAAAATACACTGTCCACCCTCAAAATCGGGAAAAACAAAAAAAAACGAAGTATACGATTTTTCAATTTTCAACATTTACTAGCTATAATTTTTGCAGATTTTATATATTTTAACATAAACACGTTAAAACTAATTTAATGCCAATATTTCAATAGGGTTTTCAAAATTGATTTATAATAAACAAATTAATGTAAAATAACGTTCTCATTTATTACTAATTTACTACTAAATCATTTCGATGAGCGGTATTTTATTTATTCGAGCACATTTTACAAGAAACTTCAAGACGTTTCAATCGTTTTAAAATTCTAAAACGATTACATTATTAATTTTTAATAAGCTTATGTTTAATATAAAAGTCCATGTAATAGGTAGTCCGTAGTTTTTTTGTTCCGACTTAAAATAATATATGAAGTGTAAAATAAAGCCATGACAGTTAAAACAAGATTGTGGTGGTTTCCATGTCAAAAAGAACGGTTAAAAGAGCTAAGTGGCTGCCACGTAATAGGGCAAGTTCAACAGCTCTAATGTTCTCAACTGAAAATGATAAATAGTCAATTTTAATTAAATCACTTTAACTACCTTTTGTTAAAGTATTGCAACGTTAAATACATTAATAAAACAAGTTTATGAACTCTATGTACAATTGTTCAGTAGCATTTGCCCTATTTAATTACGGTCACCACACTTTACCCTACCTATTTTTAAGGGGCAAAATATAGATAATATTTGACAAAAATCGATCTATATGAGCCATTTTAATCATGCAAACTATCACGTTCAGTTATAATAGCTACTGTAGAAATGTATACGAATAATTTATATAAAACTTAAAATTAAAAAACGAACTTCAGATTTATATTAAATGTGCAAATCACCTGAGTAAATTTTGAGTTAATATAAAAAAAGCCCTTACACACATACCATTCTTGTTTAACTGTTTGATTCGACTTCAGTACAGAAGATACTTTCGTTTTACACGTAAGCGAATTTCAGTTAAAAACTAAAAAAATATAATGCCTTTCAAAACGTCCGTTCTTTTTTGCGTCTTATACTTTTTTACGGAAACATGGGTAAGAAAAACACAGAGAATATTAACAATTAAAAATTAAGCATTTACAGTATAATAAGTTCACTATAGTCATATAAAAGCTTTTTTTTTTTAATTATTACATTGCGTATATGGTTCTTTACAGAGCATTGGATTAGACAAGGACCAAATTAGAAAATTAGTTGCTCTGCCCAATGATGAGGGTACATTCCGCAGCATTGTGATCATTACTTACTTATTAGAAGTAGGCTATACAGGTGATCTTAAACAATTTGAAAAAGGTAATATTTAAATATTATTCTTTATACATCATAATACTACTCATACATAATCATTGGCGTGTCTCAGAAATGTAGAGTGGGGGAAATTGTATAAAAAATTATTTATACACATTATTAATTTATAAAAAAAAACATAACATTATATAAAAAGTGAATAGTAGGGACTTCCTAATATGTTATAGCCCAAATTTTACAAGGGACAACACAATGTTTTCATTCTTGTTCTTCTTCCAGGCGTTTTACAGGCCATTTAGGCCCATTGCCGCAACAACCACTTGCCTCCATCGGTCTCTGTCTCTCGCCAGTTCTTCCCCATTCTCTATTCCAAGTTCTTTCAAGTCCTTGACCACTCTATCCTTCCATCTTCGTCTGGAACGTTCCCTAGGTCTCTCCGTGTCTGGTCTCCTTTCCGTCACCTGTCCGATTGGCCCTCCGATCAATATCCGAACAATGTTTTCATTACATTGATTTAACAAAGTGCATTGAGCTAGTAACATGTTATCTGTACACAAAAAACTATAATATTCGAAATCAATAGGCAAATTAGTTGCTCTGTTTTGGAAGCACTGTGTTTATATAGTAAGAGTATATTTCTTAACGATGCGAACATTAATTACTTATCGGACGTGGGCTACACAGGTGATGACGAAAAACTTGAAAAAAAACAATCCCTTCCGTTCTGCTCATCGAAGGAAAAAGGTAATGTTTTAATATTTGTCTTAATACATAATAATACTACTATACATAAACATTGGCGTGCTTCAGAAATTTGGAGTGGAGGAAAGTGTACAATAAATTAATAGATATCAAATCAAAAGTGCACAATTTTAGTTTTGTTAAAAACTTAGTATATATTTTTTAATAAATGTGTTATTAATTTATTTCTCAATTGCCAATATATTTGTGTAGAATTTGTGGTCAATATTAAAACCATGCCGGACTTTTTGATATTGTTGGCCGATAACAATAAGAACACTGACTGCTGGAAGGTAAAACCGAATAAGTTAATCCAAATTTAAATTATTTACTTACAATAACCCTTTTGGGGACAGTGATGACATTTGAAATCATGAGTCCCCGTCAAGGATTAATATAAATATATTGAAAATATAAAACATATTCTGTAGGTACTCCAAATTAGGTTTAAGTTATATTATTAATAATTATAATGTTCTCCTAACATATATGACTATATTTGAATAAAAAAATGATTAATTAATTTTATTACTTTGTTCTCTTGTATTTAAAATTATATCAGAATGAAGGTTTCACAACATATGAAGTAAAATTGTTTGTAAGAATGTTTATTGTACAAGATAAAAGAGGTGTACACGATGGGCTCCTTAACGGATCTGAAATAATTGAGTTATTTAATAACCTCCGAAATCAAACAGATGAACATAAACAGAATGTAAAGAATGAATTTCCAGGTAATATTGTGTTTAAGAGTAGGTTAGTTTAATAAACTTAAGAGTTTCAATTTATTTTTAGACGGTGAACCAATAAATGTATTGATGTACTTGGCGGCAATATTGAAACATAAATCCAAAGTAAGAAAATTCTTTAATTAATATTTTCTGTTTGTATACCTCCATAATATAGATTATGATCAAATAAGATTTTGTAAATTTTAAATAGGTATTAATTTTTTAGAAAGTTATAAGTCTTTAGGGTCACACTACACATTTATGCCTAAGTATACAACACTTAAGTTCATACTACAGTCTAGACACCTTTTCTATACTTTTGATCTAATTTTGGATCTAAAATCCATAAACCACGACATAAGTGAAATAAAAACAAATTGAACATTTCTTGTATTCAATTTTCCTGGGTCAATCAGTAGATATCCTAAGATTATAGGAAAGTTAAAAATTAAAAAGGGTAAATAATACCCCTTAAAAAGATGTATAATTTTTTAAATTTTGTTCATGTATATGATATGATTTATCTATAGGCTAACATAATAAAAAAATGTATAGGCTGTAAAAAGCACAAACATTTGATAGACAAAATATAAGAAATATATTTTTAAAAAATCCACTTTTTTCTTCTCATCTTATACAATAATATATATTACCAATGACCACAATAAACGCAATAATTTGTTATATGTATATTTTTAATTATAACCATTTAGTTGAAACACCTGAACGAGGCGCAGATAAACAAATGCCAAGCTTTGTACAAGAGTACAAAAAAATACCTTGATAATAAGAAACAAAAAAAGTTATTTAAAACACTGGGAATGGTTCCCAAAAAGTATAATTTTTTATTGGATTTCGAGCACGTCCGTAAGCATAAAATAATAATATTATATAATTTATTTAATATAACAACTATCATTTTCGTAAAAAAAACATAATACCCAATCATTATTTATAGGATCAGCCGCTCTGGAGTTACAAGAGCTTTTGGTCTTTTGGTCGGAACAAAATGAGGAATATGACAGAAGTGTAATGTTGTAAATTTTGAATTTATTAGGCTTGCATGCTTTGTTTGCATTGTGCATACATATAGTAAGATACGAATAATAAAATTGTACATTGATGATTCTGCAGGCACCTCTTATAACTCAAGTTAGACAGTATATGTGGGAATTCGCTATCTATGACTTAAACAAAGATGGTTTGCTCGATATTTATGAACTTGAAGAGGCAAGATTTCACACACCTAACAGCGATATGAATACCTTTTTTTCAGACTGTAATTTTTCTAAAGAACTCTAATGAAAACTATTTCTAAACTAAAAACAAATATTTTTATATTTTAGGGTCTATTATGATGTGCCCTGCAATGTTCTTGAAGATGAAATTAGCCTTGCATCCAGAATACTACGCTGATATAATTTAGTTGAGATTTTAAAAGTAAAGTTGTTTTTAATGATGTTTGTTTCATTTGACGTGTGTTCTAAAATTTACTTTTGTTTCTTTAAAAAATTGTACTAATACATCTTAACTTTGTTGAAAAAATAAATGAATTGTTTACACAGCTCTTCTTCTATTTTTTTATCTTTGCCTTACAATCCCAACTATATGGGGTCGGTCACCATAGTCCTACACCTTCATAGAGCTCTATCTTCTACACCTCGTTCAATCACCTATAGTTTACACAGCTAACTATGAAAATTAATAATAGTAAATGTAACACCTAAATTCCTTCTAAGTTCCACATAGAAGGGGGAGGTGAATGTTGAAATAAATCACACTTCCCCCTTCCACAAAGAGTGTAACTTACTATATACGTAGTTCGTAATCTTTAGCCGCCGTTTTAAAAATGAATAGTTGAAAATAAACAGAAGATTGCGAACTTATGTTGTATATATATATATATATATATATATATATATATAGGGTATATTGTAGTAAGTATATGAATATAGTTCCTAACTTCTGGAGTTCGACACGAAGATATAGTCACTGGTCTAGCTTTGATTATAGTCAGAATTAATAGTCTCTAATTCGATTGACAACCGTAATAAGCGTTACTGGCTAATTACAGTTTTAGTGTGGGCTACGTTCGCTGGCTGTTGTGTAGTACTTAGAAATTCAATCAAGTATCAAGTATCATAGTATCAAGTTTTACTTGTCAACAAGACTACTCCGATATACTTAAGCGTATGTCTCACGTTCATTGGTCAGCGTTAATCAACATATAGAGTGCTGCAAATTTTGGATTTTAATAATACATTTCTCTCTCTCTTACGTTTAATGTCCGTTATTCCTACCGATTAGCATAGACGGTTTAGATTTGGCATTTTTTGGGCTTGTAGCTGGCTGCCGACCTAATATTAGCCTTATATCAGTACGCCACTAATAATACATTAAAAATATTAAAATTATGACTTACTGAATTGTTCTATTTTCGCCTGCAATATAAGGTATAGGCAACATAATTTACATGAACGTAAAAATCTTAGGTACAATACTCATTATAAAGAATGGCATGCGATTATGACTAATAATATTAAAAAATGGATATCATTGATAAATTAGATTGTACTATGATTTTTAACTCTATCATACTATAACCAATCCTATGTGTTATAATATTAATACAGAGTTTTATTTCAATAAAATGTAAAATAATAATTGCACTTAATGTAAAATACTTTTTTTTACGGCTTTGTATAATATAATTTTTTTGTTAGTACGCTGTGTAATACGCATTAACTGCTTGATAGAATTATATGTTTATTGTTACCATCAATAGTTAAAAACAAATATTACTTTATAAGAATTATCTAAAAAACTAGGTAGCTAGGGTAGTATAAATAAATACTTACAATTAGCATCTATGCTGTTTAGTATAATTATATTGATAATTAGTGTACTAGTTTTTCTATGATAAAATGTTTTGTTTTAAAGTAGTCGATATTTCTAGGACCATAGCATGGGTTTCTTAGTTCTTATTTATATATTTTATATAATATGCATAACTGTTTAAATCTTAAAATTTTGTTAATATAAATTGTTTTTTGTTCTCTTGTGGTGAGAGGAAGTTTTTACAGTCAAGTTAAAAAAATGTTCTGTGACATTGGTCGCTTTTAAATGTATTTCAATTCCAAGCCCGTGACCTTGTGTACATCTGTGGAATCAAATCCAGCGACCATGACTTACTGTACTAGATTTGATGTGTCGGTAACAAAGTAAAAACTCTTTTTCTTCAGGTCCATCTACATTTTTCTAGTTTTATCCAATAATATCACGTTAAATAGCGCAAATAGAAAATATGATACAGATAGTAATGAGGAATTGCAGTACTGTGTTAAAGAAAATAAGAGATTATACCTATAAATGCTTTTACAAATCATGATGATTGTACTGTATTAACATAATATAAGATTATTACAATTTATTATTTTAAATACATTTTCTATTTTTTTTCTTCAAAAATATTGAGTACTTAGTATAATTGAATAATGTATGCAACAAAAGCGTATCATTACTAATATTTACTAAATTTTAAAATTCGTATGAAATTACTGACGGAAATGGGCTACCGATGTCCAGAATTTTCGCGTTATACTACAATTCTTATTACTATTATTATTATTATTTTTTGCAAGAATGATATCCACAAAATATGTTTTATATAAGTCCGTTTACTTACAAGACATAAACAGAATTGGTTGTTCGATCCCATTTGTATGGGATAAAGAAAAGACGAAATAGACATTTACTCTTAGAGTCTTTATTATACTTAACTATTTTTATAAAAAGAGTTAATTTAAAAAAATTATCCGACTTATCCATATGAACTGATTAGACATTTAACATCGCCAGTGGTTTATTTATATATTTTAAAAATAACGTTTTCTTATGAAAAAAAAAAACAAGTCATCTTAGGGCTTAGCGTTTTTAGAATAACGTAAACTAAAGTAGGTGATGGTAAAAACAGTAGACATATCTAAAGTAGTAGAAGAAGACCTTGAAAAATAACAAAAATAATAACGGTCGAGCTCGCGTTCGACGCAGATTATCACTGCGACCGGATCAGCGCGGTACGGCGGTGGAATCGCGGCGTGCGTCGTCCTCCGTCTTTTATTACAATGTCTTTCTTACAAACACTGTGGCTGATCGCGGTGTCATCGCTAGTGTTGACTGTTCGTCCTAGCCGTGGTATGGCGTTTACTGTGTTTACGGCCGTGTTAAAGTATTACCAAGCCTTGGCACCAGAACCCGTGGACGCGGTGTTGGACGCGCCGTATTTTGAACGACAGTATGATTTCATCGTGGTGGGCGCGGGTTCCGGGGGTTCAGTTGTGGCCAACCGACTTACCGAAGTCGGGAGCTGGACCGTGCTACTGTTGGAAGCGGGCGGTGAGGAGAACGAACTGACCGACATACCGTTGCTGGTAAGCTATCTGCTCGATGTGGGATACGACTGGGGCTACTGGACTGAACCACAAAAAGGTATTTGCGGCGCCATGAAAGGCCAGCGTTGCCGGTGGCCGCGTGGAAAAGCTATGGGTGGTTCTAGCGTGATCAATTACATGATGTACACGCGCGGCGTGCCCGAAGACTACAATAATTGGGCCCGCCTGGGTAATCCCGGATGGAGTTACGCGGACGTACTGCCCTATTTCAAAAAGTCCGAGGACGTTGGTCAATCGTCACCGTTGGCCGCGTCTCCATACCACGGCGTCGGCGGCTACTTAAAGGTGCAGGAACCCTCATGGAAGACGCCGTTGGGTCCTGCGTTTTTGCGGGCCGGCCGCGAATTGGGATATCCGTCAGGGACCGACTACAACGGGCCTCAACCGTTGGGTTTCTCGTACGTGTTGGCCAACACAGACCGAGGCACCAGGTGCAGTGCGTCCAAAGCGTTCTTGCGGCCCATCAGAAAGCGACGTAACCTGACTGTAACCAAAAAGTCGTTTGTCACCAAAGTGCTTATCGACCCGAACACCAAAAGGGCGTACGGGGTCAAATTTGTCAAGAACAAACGAACTGTGACTGTTTTCGCACGCAAAGAGGTGATTTTAAGCGCGGGTGCGTTGAACACGCCTCAACTGTTGATGTTGTCCGGCGTCGGTCCGGCTGACCACCTGACCGAAATGGGCATTCCCGTGATCAAAGACCTGAAGGTGGGCTACAACCTACAGGATCACGTGTCGATGGCCGGTCTTGTGTTTTTGGTCAACCAGTCGGTGACTATCGTGGAGAGCAGGTTCCGCCGCCCCAGGTATTTTTTGCAGTACGCCATCGACGGCATGGGTCCTTATACCATTCCGGGCGGTGCTGAAGCCGTCGCCTTTACGACCACTCGGTACGCCGACAATAGCACCGGATCAGTTCCAGACATTGAACTAGTGTTCGGACCCGGGGCACTCACCGGCGACACCGGCGGGTCGCTGCACCGATTGCTGGGGATGGACGAAAACTTCTACGAGAGCGTTTATGGCGGTTACAAAGGACACGAAGCCTGGGGTTTAGTGCCCATATTGCTCCGGCCTAAAAGCCGTGGACGCATTAAGTTGCGTTCAGCCAGCCCGTTTCAATTCCCATTATTTTATCCTGGCTATCTGACGGACTTACATGACCGGAAAGTCCTAGTCGAAGGCATCAAACAGGTACATATTTTTGTTTTTATTATTTTTATCGACCATCTTAAAATAATTGCCATACATTTTGGTGGTACTTGTAGTAGTGTACGTCTTCAGGACTAGGTGTAAAAAGTCCCAATAAAGTAATTTTTTATTGATTTATACTTTTAGTAAAATAAATACCACGCTTGCATATTTTAAGTAATAGTATATAATATATATTTGGTTAAAGTGAACAGTTTTAATTTTGGCTCTAACCCTGAGTTAAATTAATAAACAACATTTTGTAAGCAATTCATATTTTCGGTAAGTAATTAATAAATATTTAAATTCTAATTAAAATGTAATTTAACGAGTAAATTTCAAGAGAAATCTGTAATTGTTGCTTCATTGAGCATAATATTATAGTGTTACTAGTTTTAGAAAATATATCATCATTAAGATGATCCTATAAATACATATGTACCTATTAATGCACAGCGCTATGTATTTCACAGCAGTATTATGTAAATTTATCAAAACAGCTCCACTCATTTTGTATGATATTAAAAATACACAATATACTAATTGTTACTCAATAGCCTAAGTAGTGAATAACAGTATTTTATTTAATAACAATCTATGACTCTTACGTTGAAATACAATTTATACATTAATCTATAAACCAGCACTATAGCATATTAATTGAATATAAATTTAACATTTTATCTGTAATAGATCGCAATAAATATAATATAGGTATTGTAAGACGAGTAATTAATAATGCAAAATTATCCAAATATCAGTTCAAACTCGTAATTGGTATGAGTAAATCAATGATTATTGATAGTTGTAGCATTTGATTAAGCTACCTT